ATAGAGTTAATTAATTTATATAATTATAGTATAGATTAAAAGTTAAAAAGGTAAAGGATATATAATAGAAAAATATTTAAAAAGTGAAAATTAAAAATATCAAAGGATTAAAACTGAAAAATAAAATAAATTGGTTTTAATTGGTTTTAAGATTCACTTTTATACACGATGGCTATTGGAAACAGTTGAGGATACCAAGTAAGTTTCTATCGTTGGTTCTCGACCATTCCCCAAAGAAAACAATGTCGTCGACATACTGTAGATGAGATACTTCAATTTGATCTTTATCAACCTTCACCCCTTCAAATGTCCTTCTACTTGTTGCTACTTTCATAGCCACACTTAGACCTTCCGCTGCAATTATAAAAAGAAATGCTTGTCGAACTCCCCTCGACATTTGGAATTCCTCAGTTGGAGAGCCATTGACAAGCATAAAGATGGATGCAGATCTCAAGCACACTTGGATCCATTTACACCATTTTTCTCCAAAACTCATATGTTTCATAGTATTTAGTAAGAAGTCCCAATTGAGGCTATCGAATGCCTTTTGGAAATCCAATTTCAAAGCAAGAAGCTTCTTCCTTTCCCCTTCTAAAGAAGTCCACCATTTCATTTGCGATTAAGACACCATCAAGAATGTATCTGTCTTTGATAATGGCGATTTGAGATTCACTGATTTAAACTGCATCCTCACTAGATAGCTTCGAATTCTATTGCTGGCAAATGAAGGCCGGTTAGGAGATTTTTCTGCAAAAATGTCTTTAAAGTATTCAAAGAGAGTCCGTTTCAAAATCACTGGATCCTCACATCATTTCCCATTTACCATCAAACCAACGGATACTATTTTTGTTATGCCGACCTCGAATTCATGTATGGAAGAACAATGTATTCTCATCCCCTTTGATATCCCACTTAAAACGAAATTTTTGTTTGGCCATTTTAGTTTTTCTAGAATTCTTTTCAAGCCATTGCCTTCTAGCATCTTTCCACTTTGACAGTTCATCTTCATTTAAATATCTCAATTCCTTCTTTGAATCTATCGATATCTTTATCCAACTTCTCAATCTTGTTTCTACTTCATGACTTTAGTCTTCTGAAACATGGAAACAGTCTAACTTACTTAGCTTTGATCCATCTGCATCGACCCTAATGAAAAACCATTTCTAAAGTTCTCTGAGTTCTACATAAATCCAATTCTTAACCTTTGGATTAGATCTACAATCTGAACATTCATAATCACAAAATTGTCACGAGACTTCTCAATAATCACAAAATTGCCACCGTGCAACTTTAGACCATTAGATTATTAACTTATAAAGTTGATCAATGAACATAAATTGATCTTACGGGTCTCACGAAAAACCTTTGGTATCACGTGAACCCAACCCTGGTTTACTTAGTTTATCAGGTAAGTATCACAAAGACACATGAATTTAACTTTTGAAAAAGCATGGTAAGAACCGAAATTTTATCCGGTAAGTAAAGGTGATTACTCTTACTCGTTTACCAGGTAAGATTATTGCCCAATAAGCCAATTTGATGGCCAATAATTTTACTTGTCAAAGGTAATTAAGGGGTTGTTCCGTTGATTTTCCATTAAGTTTTATATGGATAAAGTTGAAAACTTGAAATCTATATGACCTTTTTTAACGTAATCAAGAATGCCGATATAATTTGACAACTTGAAACCTAAATCATTCATAGTTACAAGATCTATCAGTTAACGGTCATAATTGATATTAAATAAAAACATATTGAACTTTTTGTTAGAATAAAGGAATATATTATGTAGATAATATTTGTATTTTAGGAAGATATATTCTCCAAGTGGTGACTGGAGTTTCTGACGCATAAAATGGATTCGGTACTCTTCTTCACCAAACCAATCTTTTTCCTCGGTTTTACCAGACTCGGTCAATGCTTACTCTAGAAGAAGTGGGTTGACCAAAAAGGTTGCACGAATCACTCCAACGGTCATGCCTATTTTATACCCTGAATCTGATGACATCCTACAAATCTCTGATAACTAACCCTCTCATCGGTACAATGGAGGCTAAGCAATTGTTGGCTGCCACAGTAGGGAAATGTCAGCAGTAACGGTAGAAATCAGACTAGAGGTCGAGAGGGTGGTCAAGGACGTGGAGCAAACGACAGCAACTGTGGCAGCGGCGATCCACATAATGGAGGTCGTCAATAATGTTTTTGGCCATGAGGCTCTGGGGTAATGCCTCCTTGTCCGTTTCCAACAGCACCATGGTGACTAGGGGCCCAATTCTAGCACATACGCCCCAACCCAGCAACTGGGAATTCTTAGGTCTCGACCCCAACAGTAGGCCCATATAGGCTGGCCCGTCCTCGGTTCTACAATAGTCACCATCTCAATCTCCAACTGGCATTGATACAATAATGTACACGTTGGGTCTTAATCCTTCGGGTACCAATTGGTGTACCGGAACGACATCTCACATGACTTCGTCCCAAGTAATCTCTTGGCTACTTTAATTTGAGCATCAAACATGGTATCATTTTCGGTAATGGTCACTCTACAGTTACGGTCACTCTTCCTTATCTCCTCCTAACCCTCCATTCACTCTAAGCAATGTTTTACATGTTCTTCAATTTTTAGTACAAACATGGATCAAGATAGGATTTGTTTCTCTTGGATGACAAGAATAATATCCCTAGGTCCTCGATTAAATAGTCTGAGGAAGTGCATACATGCTCAATAGTTAGTAGAAAATATTGATATATGTCTTATCAGTATATTCTAGAACCGAGAAACTAAAGATCGGACATCGCAAGGATGACACATCCATGCCTCGTGTTCGATCTGATTATCTGAACAAAGAGATATGAATGTGTACACTGATAATTATCACACAGTTTGTTGATTGGCTGAATCACCAAACTTTATCATTTGGAGTAACGATAATGTATTGCTAGATGTTGTTCTTTGTTTATAATTATAAATAAGATTTATAATTATTGCCAACGTGATAAAGTCTCGACGGATCACACACATAAAATGTATATCTGAATAAGGAGAATAAATAATTAAAATATTTAATTATTAGCAAGCCTTTAGAATATATGAGATCTTCTAAAAGCTAACTTTCCTAAAGTAGTACCTATAGATATAGGTCCCATCATTACACTTATATATAAAGACATTGTGAGACAATAGTACATGATATGCAATAGAGAAAAGCCAACAAGGGTCGCTAGAACTTTTTCAAATGATCCTTTCACTCTCTATATTCTACAAGCAGCTCTTCCTTTCCTCCAAGGAGTTGGAGAACCTACCTAGAATTTGGGAAGGAAAAGAATCCCATCTCTTGGCATTGGACATCATCTAGATTTAGTGCATTTGTGTGGATACCGTGGAGATAACGAGCTAAGTTTGTTGCTTAGATTCATATACGACATCAAAGGATAGTTGCTCGTACTAGTAAAATTTTGAAACACCCATCCTACTATGTTTTGTATGGATTCTTGGAGGAATATGGTTATTGCTACTGAGTTTATGAATCATGTTTTCTAACAAGAGATCTTTATCCAATTACCACCGCTATCACTTTGTTTAAGTCATTCAGGGACATTTGTTTTTGATTGGCTTAGAAAAAATTATATCTATTGAATATAATGTTATTCTTAGTCTTTTTGTTTGTTCTTCTTGTCAATGTGGGAAAAATATTAAATTACCTTTTGTTTACATGAATTCAAATGGCAACCAAGGGTTTTGGATGTTTGTGTTTTACCCTCTTTTCGTATTTTACAATAACCAAACTCCAAGCACGCTCCACCCCTTCTGTGTTCTTAGGACATCCAACAACTCAACGAGGCTACAAATTCTATGACGTATTTGCTCGGAAAATCATAATTAGTCGTCATGTCATGTTCGATGAATCATAGTTCCCATTTTCTAAACTTCATAACCCACAATCTTACTCTTACTGTTTATTGGATGAAGGTGTATCATGTGCTTCACCACTTTCCCCCCATTGTTAATGGCCAACCATAACCTCAAAGAGTGTCAATGTCAGCTTCCCTTGTTTCTTTACCTATGGTTAAGCCATCCGACCAGGCCCAGTCCCAGCCCCTCGGTTCCTTTACATCTGGTCAAATCTTCTACTATCGATCCTCCCCAACTGCCCCTTACAATCAATCATGTCACTCCTCTATTCGACCATCCAGTCATCTCTAATCATCGCCCTGTCACTCGTGGCGAACATGACATTCTCAAACCTATTTCGACTAATCATGTGTACGCCTTACGTGATGTGAATTGGAAAATGACTATGGATGACGAGTTCGATGGTCTTTATTAAAAATAAAATGTAGGAATTGGTATCCCATCCTCCTAATGTAAATGTCATTCGGTCTATGTAGATTTTTTCTCATAAAGAGCGTTTTAAACGTTTAATAGAAAGGCATAAGTCACGACTTGTAGGTGATGGGGTCGATTATGGCGAGACATTCAGTCATGTGGTCAAGCCTGCAACTATTCGCATAGTTCTCAGTTTAGCTTTATCTAAAACATGGTCTATTCACCAGTTAGACGTAAAGAATGCTTCTTGTAACGTGAGCTCAAGGAAATAGTGTATATGCATCAACCCATGGGGTATCCAGATCTAGCATGACCAAACCATGTGTGCTTACTTAACAAGTCTTTATACGGGCTCAAGCAAGCCCCCAAAGCTTGGTACAAGTGCTTTGCAGATTTTGCTGCTAGCATTGGCTTCATCCACAGTGTCTCAGATCATTCTCTGTTTATATACCAGAATGGTAAAGAAATGTCATATCTCTTATTGTATGTTGATGAGATAATATTGACTACATCATCAGAGGATCTTCGTAGTGTATCATTTTTTGTCTTAGCTCCGAATTTGCAATGAATGATTTGGGTTGTTTGAGTTATTTTTTGGGTCTCTGATAATGTAGTGCCGTTTACTTATCCGGGAATCCTATTCAACATGAGCTAAAATATATAGAGATAGATATCCATTTTGTGCGTGAAAATGTAGCTCCAGGTCAAGTTCGAGTTTAACATATGCCTTCCCGATATCAAATCGCTAATATTCTTATCAAGGGTTTACCTTTGGTATAGTACTCTTTGAAGATTTATGAGACAAACTCAGCATCCGTCACCCTCCCTGTTCGACTATGGGTAATGGGGGTGTGTTAGAATAAGGAATATATCATGTATATTTTGGTAGGTACTCGATCGTTGTTTTTTAAGAAAATAATTATTGTATTATTTGGTTTCCTTATTTGTAAGATATCAAGTCTTCTGTATGGTATTTTTATAGAGGTGATTGTTGATGAAAATGATCAAAGGATTATCCTCTCGCATGTTTGTTGCACTCCCTACAACAAAACAAGATATATAAGACGTCTAGATTGTCTAAACGTCAAAATAGAATACTTTATAAAACGTAGGTTTATAAGATAAACTAAGCGTCTAGTTTAAAAGTGGTACAATAGGTTTATAAAACGCTAAACAAGTTTTTTAAGACGTTTTAAAATAAAGTGTCATATTAACTATTTTATATGACACTTTTGAGAAGTGTCCTATAAACCCATCTTTTTACAGGACACTTTTATTTATAGAAA